TGCATGCATACTATTTATGTATTTTTCATTTCTTTGGTTTTCTTCATACACATTGAAATCTTCCCTTTGGTATCTAAACAAATTTAAAACAGATAATCAGATGTAAAACAGATGCAGCGCAAGTGCCAGGGCAGCCACTTTTGAAATAACTCAAAGCTCCTCAACATTTATTTTTTAAAACCCAAAAGTTCACGGTCCCTAAATAGCCAACCGATACATACTGTTTTTGAATTATAGGAATCCCCAAACTTTTTCTTCAAACCATTTTGAACTCAAAATAGAAGGAAAAAAAGAAAAAAAAAAGCAGATTGGTAGATCCTTACTTCCATATTGATTTTTAACTGTTCAAAGCAAATGCAACTTGACACAAATTGAAGAAAAGATCATAACCCATTGAAACCCAACATTTTGTCATGATTCATATGTGGACTATTTTGACTAATAAACAATTATGAAGATACAAAAATGAAGGTGCAAATTGCAATGATTTCACGACGAATGAACGAATAAGGGACATTTGTTCCCGTCGCCAACCAGATTTATGGGGAAGTCAAAATACACCTAGACAGACTGTTAATGAACTGGCTCAACAAAAAAAATGCAGGCGATAGCATTTTAGATTGAATGTACCTCCCTGATCGAAAAACCTAGCCTAACATTTCCCTTTATAACCATATAAGTGACTCCTCACGCAAACAGATCTTAAAGCCTGCTAAAAATGTACAACCATGCCAAACCAAGCAAGATTCAGAAGTTAATTCCCAGGATATAGAAAATACTATAAACGGTATGTTAACGACACCTTAACAGCACATAACAAGTTTATATTCAAAAGGGAAAATTCATATGCTATGCAGGAAAAACTTGAGCGAGTGATAGAGTGAGAAAGCGAGCGATAGAGTGAGAAAGTGAGTCACACACAAATCCCAAACAGCGCCGATGCGGCCGACCACGTTTGGAGGGCAAAAAGATGTCAAATGGGCGAAGATTTCTAGTCATTGAAAACAAGTTATTCAATCTAGTATGCGAGGAAAAGAGATTGGACGGTCTGAGAATCAGTGAGAATGGGCAGGGGTTTAGAAGATCGATTTCCTAAATAAAGAGGAGTTTGACTGGCTATTGGATGCTCTGGAAGATTTCTGCTGGAGAAGAAATGGAGGAAAATGGGCAAAACATTTGGTGCATAGGAACTACAAGCTTTGGATTTCTTTTGGCAGAAACAGCCGAGGTGAGTATCTTGTGCTATCTATTCAATGGGACAGATAAGCGAAAAGGATTATCTTCCCAGGTGACGACCAGGGGAAAGGGTAGTGGAAGTTGATGGTTTCGGCATTTGAATTGCGAATCAGGACTATTGTTGACTTAAATATGGCATTGCAAGCTCAGTGGCTGTGGATATTTTTGAAAGAGGACAACAGACTGTGGAGGAAGATTGTGTGGACTCGATGGGGAGATCTGAATTGGGATAACAGTGGCAGGACAAGGATTGGAAGACCGCATGGCACGAGCTTATGGAGGAAAATCTCGATGCAGTGGCCCCAATTTCTGGATAACTTGCAGTGGAAGGTTGGTAGGGATAACAAAATTAGATTTTGGAAGGATGTTTGGATTGAAAATTATTGTTTAATGAGGAGATTCCCCAGAATTTTTGCAATTGCACAAGCACAAAATATGTTGGTGCAGGATGCATACAGAAACAACAACATTAGTGTTGAATGGTTGATTAATGTCATAAGAAATCTTCAGGATTAGGAAGTCCAAGAATTTGAGAGTTTGTTACACCTTTTGGCAGCACAGCAGGTGCCTTCTGGGGAGGATAAGGTGCAGCAGAAACTGGAAAAAAATGGAGACTATTCTGTCAAATCTTATTATAAGCACTTAACAAGAAGGGACCATGTTTTGACCCCAAATTTTCCGATGAGACGGATATGGAAAGCAAAAGTACCTCCAAGAGTTGTTTGTTTTTGCATGAAAAGCATGCATGGAATGCATATGACCATTGACAAATTAAAATCAAGAGGGCTAATCATCCCCAACCGGTGCTACATGTGTATGAAAAATGAAGAATCCTGTAATCATGTACTGCTGTGGTGTCCTGTGGCTTTTGGTCTTTGGAGTTTAATTTACAGCCTAATTAGTATTAGTTAGGTAATGTCCAGGTCTATAAGCGATGAACTGTGGGCTTGGGAAGGTGTACAATTAGATAGTAGTTTGATTAAACTTATTCCATTAACCATTTTTTGGGTTATTTGAAAAGAAAGAAATTCTATAACTTTTGAAGGTAAAGAGACAGATTTGTATAGATTAAGAGATAGATTGATGCATTATTTTGGGTTTATATTGTTAGAATATGACATTATTAGTGATGTAAATTTTGGGAATGTCATTGATTCTCTAATTATAATGTAAAACTTTGTAAATGGGCGGTACCCCGGTTTCTTGATACCATGTTAATATATATTCTTCACACTTTTTATTTCAAAAAAAAATACTAAGCATAAATCTACCTATCAAGTAGCTCTCACTCTTCTATGGAGAGTAATGAAATAACACATTAATGTATATGACAACTAAGGATAGAACACCATTTATTTTAGCATCATTATTATGCTCAAACTACAACCAAACAATGATAACTCACACATGGATAACAATCTTCAAAAGAAGAGGGAATAGTTTATCTTCAAAATGATACATTACTTCTAATTGAAATATTTAGCACTTAAACCAGACCATTAAGCATGCTACATAATCTTTCCTTACGAAACTTTTTAACAGGCAGTTTATGGACATTCCTAAAGCGAATTTTGAATCAAGAGGAAAAAAGAACAAGCAAAACAAAGTAACTATTAAGCTTCCGTTGTATGATTCAAGTGTTTTAATGCAAAATTAAGAAGAGAAAAGTTCGAAATACTCATCAAGCATCTATATCATGAAGAAAAATTTCCATCCTCGGAATCATGATCTCCATCCTGCTAACCTTCTCTATATATGCTGCATAAAACAATTTTTTTTCAAAGGAACATGATCTAACCTGTAGGTGGAAGGATGCTCAAGACGTTTCAGTTTCCAATTTTCGCACGGTGGTGTTCTTTGCAACTTACTACAAGGCCTTGGAGACCCTTGCTTTCACCCCTCTGCTTCCTTCCTCTGTGAACCAGGAGACCGAAGGAAGAAGAGTCTCTGGCAAAACAGCGCAGAAATCCTCACTTGCTCCAGCTCCCCTTATGCACTCTTCTGCTGCGCCTTTTCTTCCCAAATCACTCTCTGCTCTTCCTCTCTTCCTATAGGTCGCTATTTCTCTCGGTTCTCAGAGGAAGAACAGAACTGCCTCTTCCTCAGATCTCTTCCCTGAGATTTTTTCTTTCACCCTATTGCCCTAATTTCTCCGTCACTGCTCAGATGCCCTCTTTTTCACTCTCGATTTCTCTTCCTCTCTCGATATCTACCCCTTGCAATCCGAAAGCTTCTCCTCTATAAATGGTTTTCCAACATCATGCTGGTGCCTGAGGAAACTAGAAAATCCTTCGAGCCTTGATTATTTGATTTCCAGCCAGGTTGGTCAGCTGCCTCAAGCTGTCCTTCCCTCTGTCTCGCCTCGAGCTTTGCAGTCTCTTTTCTCTTCAATAAAAGTCTGCTTGCCCCCAACACATTTCAAACCTCTGAGGGCACACCGAACGCCTTCCTCTACATTCAAGCTTTTCCATTATTTCACGCTGCCATGCTCGTTCCTTGTCCCTTCACTTGCAGCATTACGCCCCCCATGCTCACTTTCTGGTTCATTTTCCTTTTTGTTTCAGGGTACAAGCGGACTAATAAAGGAGTACGAAAACGGTGTCGCTTAAGTCAAAAGGTTTAGCTTGTTGTTTGGGTCCGATCACTCATGGGTTTTACCCTTTATTTGGATCACGGTGAGTGGTAGGAATTTAATATATGGTATTTTACAGGCATGAGAAAATTGTATTTATTTCAACTTCTAATAATAACAAATGATATTTGAATAAAAAATTTTGTGATGAATTTTTAAACTACCGAATTGGTAGTATCTGACCGGCATAATATTTGTTTTCTATTATACTTCAATCTAATTTAATTAATTCCATATTTATCCTGACAACTAAAAACTCTAATTTCTCTTCTTCCTCACTTAAGCTGCACGCATGTAGGACGGGTCTTCTTCTTTTCCGACTGATTTTTTTCTTGTTCTTCTTCTCTAATTGCTTCCAAACGTTGGTTCATTGATTCGACTTCTGATTTGCGTTCTTCACCTTCTCAATCGGTAAGTATTTTTTTATTTTTTATTTTATTTTTTCAGCATCAATTTTTTTCATTTTTTCTTTATTTTGCTTGTATTTCTTTTGTTTTTCTTTGATTTGCATGTATTTCTTTCTGTAATAGCCTACATCTATGAATGACAGTGAGATGAATGATAGAGTTTGATGGAGTGAAATTATAATCTTTACTTGAAGAAATATGAGCAAAGACAAGTATTATGACTCTTTGTCCTTATCTGCATTGGTAGCAAATTAGTTATAGTGTTTACACTTTATTGATATGATGTTTGGAAAGATTTTTTTTTGTTGCATTGGTTTTTTGTAGGGGCATTCTTCACTTGTTTTTGTTTGATTTTTAGGATTCTTGTTTCTTGTATGTTTTGAGTAAATCAACTGGTCTAAGAACAATGTAACAATGTTGAGACCTCTCTTTATATAGCTCTTCCTATACCCTATAATTCTCTGTTACAACAAGGAAAACCAAATCCCTTACTCCAGCTAGTCCCTCTGAGCCTCTGAGATCTTTTCATAGAGATTCAAGCACCTAATATCTTGTTGATAATTCTGGTACTAAAACTCTCTCCTCACTAGATCAAATATCGCCCTTTGTTTCTTCTTCCCATGCCGTATTTTTAACTAAAGAGCTTCTATTTTGCTTTTGCTTGCTGATTTTCAAGCATAGGAATGGTGGATTCAGTTTTAAACACCCTATCCAAGAAAAGAAATAGAAAAGCCACATAAGAAAAATAGGGTTTGGCTCTTTTGCTTGTAAATCATGGTTCTATAAGATAAATGCAGCAACTGATACCAAGTCTTGCAATACCACAACTTTTTTACATGCCTAATAGATTTCTTTAGTTGGATTGATGTACAATTCTAATAAACGCATTATCTTGGGACAATTACACGTGACAATTCGAGTAGTTAGACAGGCTCACTACAACTGCTTTGGTAGTGAAATTGCTTGGCAGCTTGTGTATTAAATTATGTTTTTGCTCTTGGACTCCTTGATATTTTACTTAAAGGTGGTCTACTAAGCTAAACACATCTTTAGATTAGTAAGCCTTAGCTTCATCGAAATGAAGTGGAGGTTGGGATGGGCTTTCGTTAAAGCTAATATGTTCTAACTAGAATTAAAAAAGTGCATTCTAAACTTTATAAAAACTAGTATAAGTTTTTATCCTCCTATTTAGTCAAGTATGAATTTTCAAATGAATTTTACTTATGTTGTCTTGTTTTATTTTATATGGATTTTCGTGCACAAAGAATGTATTGCCAAAAATCAAAATTATTGGCAGAATAGTTTAACAAAGCAGAAAATTTTCCGATAATGCCAAAAAATGATTTCCTGTTTACTAAAAATCAAATTTATCATTGTGTTCATTTTGTATCACTAACATGAAATTGTTAGTTAAATCCCAACATATCTGTCCCCCTTTTTCTTTCTCTTTTCAACTTTGAGTTTCTCTACATCTCAAAAGAAGTAATTGATTTTGGTTCTTCCATATGCTATTATAGTAGGTATGTGACTATTTTTCTTTTCTTTTCAAATTTATCATTATTTTATTTTGTTCCATTGAGATATAATTATTCTTTGAATCTTAACGTATCTATCTCCATTTTTCCCTTTCTCTTTTCCACTGGTTCTTACATATGTTATTAATGCAGGTACATATTCTTGCATATGTTATTGTCTTTCTTATTTTTGTTGTGTCATTAAGATAAAATTGTTTATGAGCACTAACTTATTAATCTCTTTATTTCTCTGTCTCATTTCCACTACAATGTCATTAACTTCGAATTTCTCCATGTCTTTAGAATAGTCTTTGATTTGGTTCTTTCATATGCTCTTGCCACACATTCATGAATTCTTTTCTTTTTAAATTTATCAGTCTTTTTTTAATTTGTATTATTGAGATGAAATTGTTCATTGAATACTAATGTATCTATCTCCCTTTTTTCTTTTTTCTCTTCTCCACTCTGATGTTTTCAACTTCAAGTCTTCACACACTTCAATAACAGTTTCTCATTTGTTTCTTTCTTATGCATCATTGAGATGGAATTGTTTCTTGAGTATCTGTCTCCCTTACTCATATTTCTTCAAGTACTTGTCTCTGAGCTTCATTTCAAAGTTTCACAACCTAATTGGAATAATTCATTTTAGACCCATCAAATTTGATGACATTTAGAATGTAGTGGTTAATTTCATTTGGAATTCTTGGTGAAATCATTTTTTATATATATTTTAATAGAATGATCATCCATGCTAGGTGAAGTAAGTACAAAATTTCTGAATATATTTTACGAAAATGCTTGATTTGTTTCAATCTTAGCTTAAGCTTTTTCATGTTATACATACACCTTAGGAAGACCCAACACCTATTTATATAATTTCTTTGCGAATGTTTTTATTTTATCCGCTGGTGGGATTAGCATTGAACCTTCATAAACTCTTAGTTGAGAGTAGAAAAACTGAATCTCTATTCTATATCCATAGAAAAGTAATTAAATTTGAGGTATTACTGTCCTCTTAAAATGTTGAGGGATCAAATGGGTGACAAATATCTTATTATTTTTAATGTGGGTAGTTTGTAATTATTTACCAATGACCTTAATTTTTAAAACTTATGCCAAAAATTAAGATAGGCTTCTAAGTAGCTTATATAAATTTTCTTTATTTTTTTGTTTGTTGAGGTTTAATTAGTCAGTGGAGGGTATAACATTTCATTAAAATTTTGTATCAAGCACTGATTCTTTATTTTAAAAAAAAGTTGAGTTGATGAATTAGGACTTTTAGATTAGTTATGTTAGTTAATTGTGAACTCTGTTTGCATACCATATTTGTTGATTTAATGTAGAAATCTATTTTAACTTGAGATAGAATGATGTTGACCTCATTGGGTTTGGATATTGAGATTTGATGTTATTTTTATGGGATTATTATAATCATCACTTGTTGTTTTGTAGAATTACTTGACTATGAATTTGTAAAATTTGTTAGAGAATTTGTAAAATTTGGATGGAATGGTTAGATATGTTTGCTAATGCTTTTTATAAAAAAGAAAATGAAATCCTATGATTTGTTATAGGCAAATTACCTTTGTTTCTTGGAGGCAAATTACATTCATACTGCTCTCATATTTGGATTAACTAAAAGTAGATCACAACCTTTGAAGATGAAATATAATATATATTTTTAATTTATTCCCCTGTACACCCTCCAAGGCAAAATGCCTCCAAGACATCACAGAAATTTCTGTAGAAAATGACATCTGTGACTGGAGGAAAGAATAAATGCTAAATGCTATTAGAGAACTCTGTTAACATAGAATGAGGTTAAATAAATACTATCAGAAATTTATTCCCCAAACAGGCGAAAGTGTGTGTTGATTAAAATGTATGCTATGACTTGCTTTGATTTGGAATAATTAAACTCATTGTTTCTTTTTATTTCAGGCATTTGGTATCATTTCTGTTCACACATTAGATAAGAAATATAGATATTTTGAGACATGTAGTTATTTTACTATGCTCGTTTATTATACTTCATGGGCTAGTAGTTCATAAAAGACGTGAGATAAATTATAGGCTTACTCATGAACTATGACTAAATGGAGAGAAAACTCGAGATAAGCTTATGAAAAATTTGTTATCAAGTGATTTTAATTAGGATGAGAGCTTCGTCTTTTATAAATTTATATTGTTTATTAGTTATAGATGGTGGACTTAGGCATATCGTTCGTGCAACTGTAGAAGAACAAGTATTAAGACACTTTACTTATTAGGACACAATGAGAGAAAACGAGTCATATCTTGGATTTTTCGACGATCTAGAGAGACGACAAGTCGTCATTTTCACAATGTGCTACGATGTATAGTATATATGGCCGATAAATTCATTAATCAGGCAAATGGATCATAAGTGGCTCCGGAAATAACCAACAATCCCATATTCTTTCCATTTTTTAAGGTATATATATAAGTTATATACGTTTAATTAATTATTTTAACATGAGTGCATGTTTAATTAATTAGTTAATAATTAATTTCAGGATTGTATCGATACGATTGACGGAACACGTGTACGTGTTAAAGTGTCTAAAAAAGATGCTCCACGGTTTCGCGGGAGAAAAGATTTCCCCGCCTAAAACCTGTTAGCAGATTGTACATTTGATTTGAAATTTTCATACGTCTTAGCTGGGTGGGAGGGGACCGCTTTAGATTCAAGAATAATAAAAGATGCGTTAAACAGAGTTGATAATCCTCTAGTAATTTTCGAAGGTAATTAAAATATATTTAACTTCAATATGTAATGTATATTTTTGAAGAAAAATGTTATAACTTAATTTTTTTATTGTTTATAGGTAAGTTTTACCTTGTCGATACTGGGTTCATGTTGCGGGGTAGACTAATTACACCATATAGAGGTGAACGCTACCATTTAAGTGAATACTCTAGGAATCCACCATGCAATGCTCGTGAGCTATTTAATCTACGACATGCTTCATTGCATA